TTCTTAATCCCGACAATAGTGTCAACCCACATTTTTAGTTTCCAAAGCGAGAATATCTTGTAAACGTCATAAGTGCTCATTGTGGGTTAAGTGAAAAAAATCAAAATGTTTGGTGGCTTTTTGGAAAATTTAAACTTATTGAAGATTTAGTGAAAATTTCAAATTTTTTTGGGATCAAATGCATAATACCCCGACGTATTAGGAATTTACGCGTTGTTTGGTACGTGGTAATGGAGTCAAGTGATAACGGAATGAAGGTAGGAATGACATGAAATTTATGTGAGAATGGAATGGTCATTCTCATTCTCATGTTTGAGAGCGTAATTCGTGCATACTTGTTCAAATGCTACCCCAGTAGTTGTGCATGCTGAATTGCAGAGTCTTGATCAATTGTAGCCTGCCAGCAAAAGATAAGAGCTTTGAAGTCCATATTGTTATTCTCTTTGTCATCTTCTCCGCTAAGATATTGCAATCTTGAGCTGAAGTAGATTTTCACTGAGACATTGCAATCTTGAGCTGAACTACATTTGGCAACTAAAGGAAGAATACATAGGTATTGAACTGGAATTGATCCTTCAAAAAATTACAATTTTTGTAATATCTGATCACTTGTAGCATGATCAACTCCTCCAAAGAATACTTGGCTTTTATCTACATTTGCTTGTAATCCAGAAACATCTGAGAAGCATTGAATCTTCATGTATATGGCTGATAGGAGCAAGGTCCCGTATGCAAAGTAACTTTAAATCATCTGTAAAACACAGATGAGTTAAATGTGTACGCCTGCATCTTCGATGAAACTTGAATGTTTTTAAAAATGATCAGAACTCGACTTTATGAGGAAATTCAAAACCCTCCAAAACAATAGTTTTAAAAAATGCACTTTAAGCATACACCTAAGGCTGATAACTTCCCTCCCAAACATATGTAGAAATTCATGTGCCATCAAAATATTATTTGCTATACTCGTACCCTCCAGAAAAGCTCCTTGCTTTTCGCTAATAATATGATTCATCACTTTTTTCAATCTATTAGTGATAATACTAGAGTTGCACTTGTAAATGACATCAGAATAAGAGATTGGTCTATAATCAAAAGCATGATTTGGACAGCTAACTTTAGGAACCAGAGTAATCTGTAGTAAAATTGATTGATTTTAAGAGTTTACTTTTATGAAAAAAGTATTCAACAGCAGCAATAATATCCTCCCCAATGATTTGCCAAGATCTTTTAAAAAAAATTTGCATTGAAGCCATCCGGTTCTGGGCATTTAAGATCACTTATTTGCTACATAACCTCTTTGATCTCTGTGTGAAAAATGAGTCTGCATAGATCTACACATTGATCATACGTGATACAGAGCCCTCTCAAGAAAATATCTTTATTTACTGGCAGCACTGGCATACTAGTTCCTATAATCCCCTTATAGAAAGAGAGAATTTCATTTTTCAATATCAAGTTGAGATTTTATACATACTCCCTAAGCATTCTTAAGAGCAAAGATAGCATTACATGTTCCTCTTATTTAACAGACACATGAAAAAATAAAGTATTAGAACCACCATATCTCAGCCAATTCACTTTTACTTTTTTTATGTAGATAGCAATTTTCACTTGTAAGTAGGACAAGGAAAATATTAGTTTCACTGCATTTCCTGTATCTTCAATGTAGGATTCCTTGATCATGAGATAGCAAGGAAAATATACAGTGATTTCTATTAAATTGTTTTAGAGCCTTCTTTACACGCTTCGATTTCTTTATAATCTGAAACATTTTTGAGCCACACACCTTGGTAGACCACTTGTGTTGAAAGTTGATAAAAATAGGTCATGTTCACAACAAAAATTGAAGAACCTAAATGGCCCAAAAATCTATTGAGAACCATGAAATACCTCAAGAGACGGACAATGATCAGACAATCCTAGAGCTGGAAACTCAATATCAGAAGGTGGAAATGTATCTATCCACTCTCCATTGATGATTACCCTGTCTAATTCGCTAAAAATGTGATGATTGAACCAAGTGAAGTAGCATCCTCCATATTGCACATCTGTAAGTTGTATGTCATATAGAAAATTTTATAGCTCAGCAATCTCACTTCTACTAACCGCGCTACCTCGTGATCTTTCCTCTATCTACTTAATACAGTTGAAATCACACAGAACCACCTAGGGTTCATTGATAGAAGCAGCTAGATCTCTGATATCATTCCATAGTGGTACTTAACTTGCATTTGAACAACATCTAGATCCCGTAATAGCATGGTTCTACTGTGAAGGTCCAAGTGAAAATTATGTGTGAAATCTCAACCAGGTGCGCACCTTGTAGCCACATTATTGATAATAGAATTTTTTATGTTTGTTTGTACTAAAGCAATAAAAGACAATTTATTGACCTTAATTAAGTTCTTAAGCTCATTTTGTATATTAGGGTGGTTAAGTTCCTTAATATTCCAACATGAGAAAGATTTCCTCCAGGGTCTCTTGGAGTGGTTGGTTTTCTGCTTCTTTGATTCTTACTGATCTTGTAGTAGAGCCTTCACCTCTTCTTCTAGCAACTGGGGGTTTTGCAAATAAATCAATCATAAAATCAATCCCTCTTTCATCCTGAATATGTAGGGGTTGGAAAGCATTAGGTGAAGAAACAGATTGAGGGGTAGTAGTTAAGGTCTTTTCTTTATTCTTCTCCTTACTCCTAACATGCTGCCAATTATAATTAGGAGGAATAATCTCTTGACTATTAACACAAAGAACCAGAACTTGCAGAGAAATATTGATTATGTATCATAGTAGAGCTAAGAGCAACGTTACGCAAGGAGGCATCTAACTGCTTTCGTGTAGATACAGCATCTCAATTAGTTATTATCATGTCTATTATCATGTCTACAATCATTCTATGCAAAGTTTTACAATCATTTAACTGCTTTGAACAAATGATTTAACTGCTGTATCTACAAAAACACTTGTATAGCAAAGTTTACAAGTCCTTTGGGGAATGATTGAACAAATGATTCGGATGCTTCAGGTATATTTTGAGATTGTTTAACAACCCATATCTTCTTAGTTATTCCTTTGGAACATTTTTCTATTTTTTATGACCAAATTTCTTGCAATTTAAGCATCTAGTAGGCACCCATTCATACTCAACTGGTTGATTAAACAACACACCGCAAGACCCTTTATAGTTAGCATTTTATGTAAATCAAAATCAGCATTTATCTCAATACACACCATAGCAAATGGGATTTCCCAATATGAAAAGAGGAATAAATATGTCCACCTTGAATTCTTTGCGGATGACTTGTTTGATGCTTGACACTTTCATGTTTTGAAATACTCGATTCTCCTAGTTTTATTTCCTTCAATTATGCACTTAATTTCTTTTTCTTTCTTGCTTTTATATAGCTCTGGACTTGATTTTTATGAACTAGGTATCGTACTTCATTTTCTTTATTATTATTATTTAATCTAAAGAGTCTCGCCTCACTCTTTGCCTTAGCAGAACCAAAAAAAAAAAAAGGAAAGAAAATGGAGAGTAAATTTCACAAATTACCCTTAAGTTTAGCCAACTGAATCTCTCTTAATATTAAAAATGTCAAAGAACCATCAAATAAATTAGCTGATTTTGAGATAACACCCTTAATATTTAACGCAATTGTCCTTTAAAATCTAAAGTTGCTTTATTTTGAAACCCAAGTATTTTGTTTCCGCACCTGTAAATCCAAACAACTATATGTATTCATCTTTAAAATCTCAGTGTCATTAAGTTCATTTATCTGTTTTACTTTTATTCTTTATTGTCAGCCATCTGTAATACTAATTTTTCCCCCTCATCTGGCTGGATTCATATCCTTAAAAGTGAAACAAAGTTATGTTTGCTAGGCTTAGCCTAACATATATCATACAAATTGGAGTAAATAGAGAGCAGCGAGGAGAAGCATCAAATATTTTCAAAAACGCATGTGCACAAACGCAAAAAGAAAACATAGAGGTAAATAGAACAATATGACTGTTTACCAAATTAAAAACATACAATTGATAAACTATATAAAAGAAAGAAAATAAATTAAAAGCCAAATTAAGCTTCCATTTATTCCCATCAAGATGGCAAACCAAAGTACACACAAATATATAATAGAACAAAAAATACAACCTGAAAGCGAAGATTTTAATGTTCATCCTCTTCTATCAGGAGGATTAGATCTCGTCTCCGTTCCCGTAGAAATTGTACATATAAACCATTTGTATGCTACCATCTCCTCCATTACCCCCGCCACCACCGCCGCCTCCTCCTCCTCCGTTGTGGTTGATATTAATGTTTGGTGGCAACTGATGAAAACAAAAGATTAACATCAACAATCGAGGAGGAACTTCAAGCAAGTTGATTTGGTGAAGGCAGGGTTATAATTTTCTACTCTAACGCGCTCCAACAGGTTGAGCGTGTCCTTTTTATAGGTTGAAATACAGGTTGAAATACGAATCCAGGTAGCAGTAATCAAATTTTTAAAATCCGCATTAAATTTGTGCCCAACAAAATTCTACCTGCTGGGTTGCTGTGATATCATGTTAAAAACTCTGTCACTACACCAAAACTCCGAAGTTGTGATGAGGGTTGAGGTTTATAATTTTCTATTCTAACTAATGTACAAAAATTATTGACCAAAATAATCTATCCATACCTGCGTTGGTACCACGCCTCCTGCTGGTTGCCGATCACGTAACAACTTCAACATCCTCGAGACACGCGTTGATTTTTTCAGTATCTGCTCTCGAAGAGCCTCCACTTCTTTCCTACAATTAACAACAAGCAACATAAAAAGGTACTAAAATAGAAAACAAGAATAGACTCAAACATTTACAATACCTGGAGAGCAAGGGAAGCCTATATGAACAACATAAGGCCTTAAACAAAAGAGTACCACTACTCTTTTGATAATGAACGATGGCCTCGTCGTAAAGTCCCAGTTGCTTGGCCCTATTCCCCTTTCTCTCCTCCTCGGCGGCCAAATCCATGAGGCGGTTAAGCTCTGCCAACTCTGCCGCGTTTCTCTCCCTCAGCGCCGTCAAAGATGTTCCCATGGTTTTGCTATCGTAGCTCGGAGAAATGTCAGTGGGTCCTTATTTTCTAGAAGGGAAGACACAATTTTCTAGTGTTGAAGGTGAAAGAGAGGAATATAAGTAAAGATATTTAGAATCTGGTAGAAGGGGATGCAATTAAAAAGATGGCGGGGCAGTCAAAATAGTATTCCCCAAAAGAATTAAGAAAAACGTATGCTTTTCGTTATGGGTCACGACCCGGCCAGACACATAGTGTGTCGGGCCTGACCCGACCCATGATATACTGGGTCATGGGCTGGGCCGGGCCGGGTCCATCCCCAGACCCGGGGGATCAGAAAAGTAGGCCCAGCCCACGCTGATCTGACCCACGCCCGACCCGCCTGGCTCGTGATATATTATTTGGTTAGTCTAGCTGTTCCTTTAGCCCTTTGGATATGTAGTTAGTTGTTAACAAAGCCAAAAGGCAATTGGTCTTTTGCCTAGTGGGCCTTTTGGCCCATTGAGAAGTAAAGGAGCGATCTTTAAGCTCATTGTTATCTACTTGCAAGGATTAAAAGTTTAATACAAGTTTAAAAATAGTTTAATATAAATTTAAATTACTAAAAAACAAATTCAAAATAATTTTATAATTATAAATAAAAGTTTTATAAAATTAAAAAGGTAAAAGACATAGGGAAAAAAGTTGGACGAAAAATCCATGGGCCGGCCCACTCTGACCTGGTTGGGACTGGGCTAGTCTCGACCCGGCCTTGAACCGACGAGTCGGGTCACTGGTCTGAATAGCATGGCCCATGTACACCCCTAGTTAGGTGGGATTAATTTCCATTAAATTTAATTAAGAAATGGGCCCAGATGCTCGATTGCAATACAAAATTTCTTTAAAGGTGATTAATGTATAAATTGAAAATCAAAGATGTTTCTATGTAACCTTATTGTAAAGATGGTTTCTAAGAAGAAACCCAATTTTTTAAAGGAAGAAGTCATTATATATCACTTTGAAATGTTTCAATAGAGACCTCAAGTTGTGTTTTTTCTTTAGAAAAATGGAGCTTATTTGGCAATCTCTTTTGAACCTAGTAAATTTACTAAGGACGGGTTATCTTTGTTGAAGAAAATTGAGAAAAAATTAACAAATTGGAGAGGGCAGTCTTTATCAAAAGTGGAAGGTTGTCATTGGTCACTTCTAAATTATATTCTCTGCCCATTTTCTACGTGTAGTTCTTTTTTATTTCTCAGTTGGGTTTGTTATAAGATTGATAGGTGTCATGCCCAAAAACCTAACTTTCGAGAGGGGCCAATAAAAATGTGACATGTGTATTATGGAAGTTTCAACTCTACACCCGGTCATAGTGTATTTGAGTAGCATGATTGTTCGCCATTAGCCCAACGTCAGTCATCACTAGTCCAATCTCCTCACCTTAATTAGTTCAGTCATCATGATCTAAGATGAGCTCGTCCTCCCATTGGTGAATAAACGACTAGATCAAATCTCTCCTCACATGAGCTAAAGAAGTTTGACTAACTCACACGAGGGCATGGCTACCATCATTGAGCAAATTTTCCCTATGACCTCTCAAGCCATCATAACAACCTTGGCTAGTAATGGAGGGATGTGGATAATTCGGTTACGGATAAAACTTTATTATAGTTCTATTTATTAGGATGATCTCATTACGCCATATCATGAACTTCCCTCTATTTGCGTCCGGAATGATTTTCATTGCAACTTTTATTTACAATGTTTATCGTTTACAACAGAAACAAAAGAGTGAACTTTTTTTATAAAACTTCTCTTTAAAGAGGGTATTCCCTAGAAATACAAGCAGGAACTATTTATTAGTCGCTGCTTGCGTGGGATCTTTACCTGTGCCGGAGACGCTTTGATCCGTTGACCACCAATTCAATGATTCAGATTGATCGTGAAGAAGGCTTTGTGTTAATGTTTCGTTTTAGAAACAAGAACAAAAGTGAATATCTCAGCGAGGTAAGATAAACACTCTTCCTGGTATCAAATCGATGTTTAAGATTTGTCAAAAAAATGATGAAGAACTCTCTCTTTATGACCGAAGTTCGCCAAAATCACTGTCTCTCTCTCTCTCTCTGAAATTCGTGGGTACTTACTCTCAGATCTGCTAGAAACCTCAGTACACGTCAGTACTTTCGTCCCCGTGCATATTGGCGCCGGGGGGGTCTTTATAGCCCTTGGAAGCCGTTATTGAAGATAAGAATTCGAAACCAACCATGATTGAGATGAATTTTTAGTTTGTAATGGCCTCTCCATGTTTAGGAATGTTTCCAAGTAGTTATGGAGCCAGGTGGATTGCACAAAACTCAAGAAACACATGTCACACCGTCTCACAATGGTCGAGACAGTGTTTCCTATCAAGCAGACCGAGACACTCTACACTGCCTCGGCCGACGAGACAGTGTATTCTGTCACGCCAGTTGTGAGACGGTTTCGAGTCCGTCGTTTTGTCATTTTGCGCGCTTCTTCTTGCATCGGGTGATCTTCCATGACTTAGATGACTATGTTCTCCGTCTTCTTTTTGTCTTGAGCTGTGTTCAGGAACCTATAAGTAATTTTTGATGCCTACAGATACCCCCTCCAAAGTTTTCAGCCTCTTCAGTATTTTATCGAGGAGTTTGAAATACTTTGGATAAGATAGGCCCTGCTTTCAATCCCTTCAGTATTTTGTCAAGGATATTGCGTGAAAAGGACCTGTGAATGGCTTTAATTCTTTGACTTCTTCAGCTTTCAGTTTACTTAGTATTTTTTCGAGTATTCTGAAATACTTCTGGTGCTACGTTTTTCGCTTAACCATCGTCGAAATCTGAAACTGAATTTGATATGTTGATGTTGGGATTTAGCTCTTGTCGCTGAGTTGACGTTGAAGTGATCATCTTCGTAAGGAGTTCACATCTGAATTACGATTGAACTTTCAGGGTTAATTTTGGCAGAAGATTATTCTGAGCCTGATTTTGGCGAAATTGTTGAATCGTTTGTCGAGCGTTGATTTCTGCTATGGCATAAACAAAATTTATACTTGTATATAACTAGAGTCTACACAGTTTAAGCTCTTAAGGCATTGGAGCGGGGAGAAATAGTTTATACTCATATACTCATTGGAGTTCGAGGATCAGTTTAACGTTATATACCTACCAGAGGTTCAAGGAGAAGTAGTTTATACTCATATACTCATCGGAGTGTGGATACGAACCCGAAATACATCGAAAACATGGACAAAATACCCTCAAAATACTCATCGGACCCAGTCCCTGCAATGAGATAGGCCCGTGTGCCTCGTATGTGTGCAAGACAGCTAACGCTGTCTCATCGTGTGAGACATCTTAGGCTGTCCCGCACGGAGGCGGTCTGGGGTTGGTTTTGGGAGTTTTAAAGTCTGCACTTCGGGCTTTTTCCTTCAACTTTGCCCGCGTTTCCTCCTTAAAAAACTCCCCAGAAATCCTATAGAGGAGTCCTCTTATTCCTCCTCCCCTTCTCTTCTTCAAATCCGACCGAAAGGTAAGCTTATCTTATTGTTTTGAATTCTTGGCTAGGTTTCGAGTTTTATCCCTTTCTTCTTGTACAATATACTCAAACCTCATTTTCCCTTTGCTCTTTGACAGGAATCTGAAGCCCATCCCTTGGCGTTTGGAAATTTTTGAGCTTTTCCTTTGTGATTTTCCCTGATCCCTAGCTTTTCTATTCGAGGTCCGACTCTTCTCCTCGTGTATATATATATATATATATATATAATATATAATATATATATTATATATAATATATATATATATATATATATATAAATATATATATATAATATATATTATATGTATATATATATATATATATATATATATATAATATATATGTCTTGTTTCATCTCGATTTTTGGGGCAATGACTTGATCTCTTGGTTCTTGATTTTGAACAATGATCAATCCCTAATTCTTGGCTTTGGGGGAGGACCGAAGCCTTAGCTTTGGTTTCGGATGAGAACCGAAACCCTTGGTTTTATTTTCCTTCACCCGAAACTACCTCCTCTTGATTTTTGATGAGAACCGAACCTGAGTCCCTAATTTTCTCTTGTAGGTTGACGATGTCTCCCAAGAGAGCGCGTGTCCCAAGGGGTCGATCAGCTTCTCAGTCAGCAGATAGAGAGGTTCCTTACTGCTTCATCTTTCAGGGGTGAGACTTCCTAACTTTTATCAATTTAAAAGTTAGAATTTTGAACATATATCCTCGTTTACTCTCCTTCACGAGGTATTCGGGAAGAGCCAGTATCCTCCTTTATGAGGGTCGATGCTTAATGGATATGTTTTGCTTGGTCAAAACACGTCTCAAGGCAAAAGAGACTATTTTACACTGTCTCGCTATCCGTAGGGTAGGGTATATTGTCATGTTGCTTACATGACAATGTACATTGCCTTTTATGTGCAAAATGGTTGAAATCATCTCGTAAACCACAAGGCAATAACTCTATCTCGCAGATTTTCGAGATGAGTTCGACTCCTTGTTTTGCCTTTGAAATATTCTTTTAACCGCGCTTGACAAATCGCCCTTTGTTCGTCCCAGTTGAATTCCCTCCGGAGGTGTTCTCACCCTGTGCGGTGAATAGGCGAAGCGGAGGGGCTTTTGCCTCTTCTGACGAAATGCCGCTGTAGGTGTAAAAAATTGCCTATAGGTTCATGCACACAGTTCAAAACGGAGAGAAGATGATGAATGTCATAATCCAAATCAATGAGGGTTATCTGATGTTGACAAACGTATAAAGCGGATCGGTGAAGTGTTGATAACGTAGCAACAAGCATCGGAATGGAAAACCAAGTGGCCCGCGTACTCACCGACCACCTCCAAGTGGCCTGCCTGCTCATCAGCTACCTCTAAGTGGCCCGCGCGCTCACCGGCCAGCTCCAAGTGGCCCGCGCGCTAACCGACCACCTCTAAGTTAACAAAATGTATGAAGTGAATCGGTAAAGCGTACGAGTCAACGTGACACACGAAATGACAAATCAACTTAGCTAGGAATTGTGTTTCGCCCAAAAGGGGTGAAACACTATGTGTGACTCGCCCACATCATTTGGTGACTAGCACAAATAACTGACATTTCGGACATGATGCAATTTGATTTTGGAGAAACTCAAAAGACATAAGTTGTAGGTCTTTTCGTCAGCTTTCCAACCATCTTGAATCAACAAATTCTGAAACCGGACGAGAGAGTTAGAGCCAAAATACTCGA